CTTCTAAACGGTAATAGATAGGTATAGGGAAATTTTAGGCGTGTAGGTCATATTGATTTATGCATACTGTGAAATTTTCAGGTTGATACGTTAAATAGTTTGTCAGAAACGGCTAATTAACGCTTATCATGAAAAGCCCTGTATATTCAATGAACCAAAAGAATTGCTAATCTCATTCCTGTTCGAGGCACACATTTTGGTGGTTTTTTATAACTCTCAAAACTGAAGATCTCTAGGCGAGAGTCGCAACCCTCCCAATTCTGGTTAGAGTTTTATAATAATTATTGATAGATTATAAATCATGCCGAGATGTATATTGTTCCGTTACAAAATATTGCAATAACTTGTTTCCGGTCTGCTGATCACCAAGATACTTTCCAAGTGTCCTTTTTCCTGTTAACATTAACAGATCAGACTTACTTATGAAAGAAAAACGTACACATTGTAAAAACACGTAGATCGACCTTTATGTGTGGAAACATTCTTGAAATGTGAGTTTCATGGCTTTGTTGATAGCAGCGAAAAAGGTTACGCTGCCGTTATATATTTTCGATATCTAAGTAATAACGGCATTAAGGTAACTCTCGTGTGTGCAAAATCACACACAATTGGGTCAAATCATCTCCACATCGCTAGAAAACCTTCGTTTCAAATCGAGTGTCCTACATCCAAGGTAAAATTCCTCCATCTTCTTGGCGACATGTCCGCTCCGAAGACAATCCGGCGGATCCTGACTCCAGAGGATTGCTGCCATCTCAGCTTCTTGACTGTTCCTTATGGTGGGCGGGGCCGATTTGGTTACAACAAAATGTAGAAACTTGGCCACATAGTATTTCCGATCATAATTCTTCCCAAGCTGGTGATGAAGAGCGAGCTATTTCTTTATTAGCTCTCACTTCATCTAATTATTTCGATAAACTTTTGGAGAATTTTTCGAGTTTATCTAAAATGCAGACTATTATTGCTCATTTTTTGCGATTTATTCATAATTATAAATACCGTAATTCACCTGAAAACCAAAAATGAAACCATTTTTCTAATTTTGAACTGTATGAAGTTCTTATGGTTTTAGTCAGATATGTTCAAAATTCTGTATTTGCTAATGACATTCAAAATCTTAAAGAGGCAAACCCGTTTCAAAACCTTCAAGAAAACTCAACCCTTTTCTTGGAGAAGATGGTATTCTCAGGGTGGGCGGTCGTTTGTTATTCTCTGGATTGTCGTATGACAAAAAACATCCTGCTGTTCTTCCCAACAAACACCGTTTAACTTATCTAATTATTGAGGACACGCACGAGAAATATCTCCATCCAGGGCCTCAAATACTTCAATTTCATTTAGCCCGAAAGTTTTGGATTTTGTGCTCTAGAAGGGCAATCCGTCACTGTCTTAGCAAATGCCTTACTTGTTTCAAGATAAATCCAACTCCTCTTCAACCTTTCATGGGGAATTTACCATCTTTTAGGATCAACAAAGTTAAGCCATTCTCCATCGTTGGTGTAGATTATGGTGGGCCCTTTTCAATTGTTTTTAGTAAAGCACGGGGCGCAAAATCAATGAAAGCTTATATATGTCTGTTTGTTTGTGCTGCCACAAAAGCTTTACACTTAGAGTTAACGTCAGATCTTACTACAGAAACTTTCATCGCCGCTCTTCGACGTTTAGTAGCTCGACGAGGGCGCTGTAGTCAATTATTTTCTGATAATGGAGCTGCATTTGTTGGAGCTTATAGGGAGCTCAACAGACTTATGGAACAAGCCGCTTCAACTGAGTGCATCGAATGGTCATTTAACCCCCCCCCGTCAGCACCTCATTTTGGCGGGCTTTTTGAAATCAGTGACAAACTACCTTATTTGAACTATTGGTTCCCAAATATTGAGTTATGAAGAGTTCTACGCCATTCTGTGTCAAGTTGAGGCTATTCTAAATTCACGTTCTCTTTGTCCTCTCAGTAATGACCCAAACAATTCATCCGTTTTGACCCCGGGTCATTTTCTGACTCAGGAACTGCTTAATACTATTCCCGACCCAGACTTATCGGCTGTGTCTCTTAATCATCTTAGTAGATGGCAGTTAGTGCAGCGCCTTATACGTGATATTTGGAAGTGCTGGCATGACTCTTATTTGAATACGTTGCAACAACGAAATAAGTGGCTTAATAGTTGTCACAATGTTAGTCGGGATACCTTAGTTCTAATAAAAAATGAATTAGTTCCACCTCTTGAGTGGAACATTGGTAGAATTGTAGAACTTTATCCAGGACACGATGGCGTTGCGCGTGTAGCTATGGTAAAGGCTAACACGGGTTTATTGAAAAGGCCACTGGTGAAGCTATGCCCTTTGCCTGTGGTTTCTACATCGGACGAGATGTAAAATATAAAGTCAATATCTGGGGAAAATATATTACTATTTTTCAAGAATTATTTTCTTTATTTCTTTTTTTTATACAATAATTTCATTTCAAATTTTACTGGTCTAATCTGCTGCGATACCTTTCAAACAAAAAAGAGCACGATGAAAACTGGTACAGGAAAACAAAGTCCTTATCTCGTTGACTCGGTAGAGACAAAACGGTGAACGGTGAAAGACAAAATTCCCCAAAACCTTCAGTTGATCGAAAACCAATAAAATATTATTAAAATTATGTTGTGCATTACCTACTCGACCGTAGAAAAGGCCTAGATTAGAAATTCGTCGTCGCCCAGGGATCCGCCCAGAAGAAAGGTAAGGTGAACAATTCTGAAACCACTTTTCCTTTTCTAATATTAATCGGTCAAATCGAGGTTGGTTTTAAGGGTTGAAACCCTTTGATCAATCATTTAGCATTTTTAATTTTAGAACTTCCTCACGAATTTCACATTAAAGTGGCATGTAATATATATTAGCTGGATAGAGACGAAAAACCAAACCATAAAATATGGCATCTCAGTGTTGTTCTGTACCTTGAAGGATACAGAAACGTAAACTTGAGACGATAAGAATGCACACTTATCATCAATAAAATATATCATGCTTTTATAAAGCATCCCTTTCTTTTACAAATGGATGATAGAGTTCATCGAAGAGAGATAACTGAACACGTAAGTCGTCTGCAATTCATGTTTATTGAAAAGTTCATATGGTTCCTATTCCTCTATACTACATAAATAGTTGTTTTTACAACTAATAATGTGTAGACACTTCATATTTCACAGTAAGTGAGTTTTATTTTATATTCAGTGATTATAAATACTGGAAAATTTAAACTGACAGATATCGGAGTTGAAAAATTGGAATATAAACGTAATCTCCATCAAGAGCCACACAATCATTCCAGCGCCGCCTCAACATTTCAATAACACTTGTAGAACGATTTATCTTTTGCCTCGAAATAGGCCTCAGTTTCAGCAATAACCTTTTCATTCGAGCGAAACTTCTTTCCGGTGAACATTTTTTTGAAGTCTGTGAACAGCCAGTAGTCACTGGGAGCCAAATCTGGCGAATATGGTGTACGTGGGAGCAATTCGAAGCCCATTTCATGCAATTTTGCCATCGTTTTCATTAATTTGTCTTCATGATTTATCTTAATGAAGCAACACTTTCTTTTTTTTTTGACGCAATTTCGGCCTTCAAACGCTCCAATAACGCTATATAATATTCAGTGTTGATGGTATTTCCCTTCTCAAGATAGTCGATGGATATTACACCACGCATAACTCAAAATACCGAGGCCATAACCTTTCCAGCCGATTGTTATGCTTTCGGGCGCTTTGGACGAGGTTCATCAATTATTCTCCACTCAGATGACTATCGTTTTCATTCCGGAGTGAAGTGATGGATCCATGTTTCAATTATATTCTATACTATTTGTTTGTGAAATTATAAAACAACGATGTTTTATCCATTGTCACATATTAACGCAAAAATTTTGGTTTGTTATGTTTAAATATGGCAAAACATTGCTCAGAATCATCAACACGTTCTTGTTTTCAGTCAACAGTGAGCTCGCGTGTCACCCACTTTGAACAGAGCGTTCTCATAATCAAATGCTCATGCAAGCCAACACGTTTTTTTTTGAACGTATTAACTTACTTTCGCACAGGCGCCGCTCTCAGAGCGCCTTAAGGATTTTCCTGTAATGCTTGTGTTTTGTCCTTAAAAAAATACATTTATACATATTAAAAACAGGAGAGTTCACGGACAAAGCCCTATAGATAAGGGTAGAGGCAAACCGCGAACATGTGTTTTTGGCTATTGGCCTTATATCAGCGCGTTGCAGCCAAGTACAAAGATTGGCAACATACTGAGTTATAGAAAACAGGCTGATGAAGCCTGTTTTCGATAACTCAATATGTTGCCCTCTTTTCCAGAGTCTATGTCCGTGAATTCTCTTTTTTTTATTCAGGTCAAACAACTTGATTACATCTTTTTCTCTATTTATATCCTGGACCCGGAAGTAATGCAGGTAGCTGTTGTTGTCTACGTGGTCATGTTGGGTGTATCCTGGAAATTTTAGGTTATCTAACTAGAACCACAAATGTGAGGTAGGCTCCTGTTGTTTCCCTTTCTTCGTATGTGTTGTCTTTTCCAACCAAGTGTTGCCCATCTCTGCACTTGACTGCAATGCGTTGATGAGAACAACATCCAAAAACACGTGTCCGCGATCAGTGTTTTCAAACACCAGAACTGATAAACTCTTCTCTGGGAAGAGAGGCGCAGAAACGAAGGGGGTGGGCAAACTGCAGATATGTGTTTTCTTTATTGGCTTACATCAGTGCAGTGTAGAGGATGAACAACTCTATTGATGCAGAAAAAACTAGAGTTTGTATACTAACCTGTCTATTAATTCACTTTTTTCCAGTTACTTTTGAATTACGGCATGCAAGCCAACGTTTTAATGTTACAACATTCATTGTTATCCTTTACAGTTGCAAATTTTAGTTTTGCTCCAGGAACATCTTCTAGTGTTAAAAACTTTCTTTTTTAATTGTACTTTACCATATGTTTATATGAGGATTAGGCAGTGTTTGTCCCTACCGAACTACTAGCGCTGCTAGTGAGTGATTTTTCGTACTTCAGGAAAAAGGTTCATGCGGCCTTGTCATAAAACCTGAAGTTGGAGGTATATCAAAACTATAATCTACAGCTCCCAATCCCAAAAACACATGTCAAAAAACAATTAGATGTTCTTGACAAATCTTGTATTTGACAGAAACGAATATTTTACGACATTTTGATTGCACTTGGATTTTGAAGAATTAGCATGGTTAGAATCGGATTAAATGGTTTTGGAAGACTAGGCAAACAACTATTGAGGATAGCAATCAATGCGTGCAAGAAGGTATAGGAAATTTTCAAATAAGGTGATTTTATTGAATGCATGATTTTCAGAAATGTGCTTCCGATGTTTCAAGAATTCTGATGATAAATGATCCCCATTTGACCACAGAAAGTATGGCTTACCTGCTAAAAAATGATTCTCTTTACGGAAAATTCAAATCTGAAGTAGTTGAAATGGGGTCATCTATTATGGTAGATGGTAAAAAGTTTTGCGTGAACAAAATATCTGAAAACTTTTGCAATGTTCATCATTTTAGGTCAAAGGGTAGAGGTAACAAGTGAGAATAAAATAGAACAAATTCCGTGGAAAAAATGTAACGTTGAATACGTTATTGATACAACTGGACAAAACGCCAATTGTAATAAAGCTTCCGTAAGTAAAGCATATGCTATTCTGAATTAAAAAAATATTTAATCAGTCACATTTTGTAATTTTCTCTTTCAGTTCATTTCATACGAATATTCTGAAAACGAATCACTTTCATTTCTAAGAACTGTAGGTTGCCTATTCACCTACAGATTCTAAACAAAAATATAGGATTCTGAATGTTTAGCATTCAGGATAAAAATATTATTTTATCATGTCCAGTTGGAAAACATATTTTGGCATTTATTACAACATTATCAACACTATTTTTGTATATAGGAATACAAACATATTTCAAATATGTTCACAGTTGAACTGAGTTAATTGAACATTTCTTCATAAAAAACTCAAATATAGAGTATTTCATTAAACGCTTCCTATCTTCGAATTTGAATAAAACAAAGTTTGTGTGAGATAGCTTCGACTTTTTTATTCGTTTGAAAGACCTATTGATGCCATTATATGTGGAATATAACATCGTTCAAATGTCCGCCATGGCTTGTCTGGGTGGAGCGTCCAATTTTCCATGACTCTGGCGTATGAATAACGATGAGATTGGAACCTTTGGTGTGAAAGTTGAATAACTTTTTTCGAGATCAATTGCCCTAACACCAAACTGATATTTTTGCACTCAACGCGCGTTTCGCCAACAAAGTTAGCATCCTCAGGAGAAGAAAATTGATACCTAGTCTAGTCTGGTTAGTCCTTATATACTAAAATTTATTACTTGAGGTTGTATACCCGAAGTCCAATATGGAATTTCTCGGTAATTAACTACCTGCAAGTTCTTAGTAATTATTCTCTTCCTAACAGAAGATTAAAAAGCGGGCTAAACGGGATGGGTCCCTTATCATGCTGTTTTTACATTTTGCTATTTCTAGACTCTCACATGCATCGAGTAACCTGGTGTCATGCACATGCCTAATCAGTTTCAGATTGTTTTCACCAATTCTGTGGTGCTTGCCGTTGATAGTGATGGCCTGGCCAACGTCGTTCTCAAAGAAATATGGACCGATGACGTCGCCAAACAGTGACTTTTTCGGGATGCATTGGACGCTCTTGGTCCAAGATCCTAGAGCCCCCAGACCTACGTCATTTTAGCAAAGTTGAAATTTTCAGGATTATTAGTTCAATGTCTTGTTAAGAGGTATGCGTACCCATTAGCTTGAAAGCGGGGCCATTTCTCAGGTAGCGCGCAGTACAGGTAGATAAAAACCTTACTTACTTACGTTGAAGTAGAAACGCTAATATTTGAATATTCTTTTAAGAATGTTATTTGAAATTAAAATTCATTACTGCCAGACACTTTCCGTGGGCCATTACTTCTGCCAGACGTCTTGAAGGTTATGAAAAAATTAGGTAAACTACGTTATAGTAGCAAATCTAAACTTCATATATATTATCTTAGGTACTATTTTAAGACCCTTTGTCTGCGGCCAGAGCAATCCGAAGGGCCTATTATACCTCCAGACACCTTAAAATATTTGGAGTAATTA